AAAAAAGGAGAGACTTTTGTTCTGGTGACATGATGGGCATAGCCATCTTGAGCTTTTGTGAGTAGCAAGAGACAAAACACACACACACACACACACACAAAACACAAAAACAAACTAGTGATACAAAAACATAACCTGTGACTTACAGAGGCAAATGTGTGATATTTTTCTTTTTTCCAATTCCCCTGGTGACCAGAGTTAAGGCTGGGCCCCACCCATGTAAACTCCCAGGGAAGCTCCAGCTCTGCTAGTGACCAGAGCTGCACAGAGGTGAGCACTGTGATTGTGGGACCCATTAAAAGTGGGGGGAGCAGTCTGCACTGACCCTATCTGTGACCCTGCTTTAAATCTTAGCAGTCTGTCCCTGCCCAGCCTAAGAATGGTTCTCACGAGGAGAAGCAGTTGAAGAGAACTTGTTGTTTTTGTTGTTAGGTGTCATTGAGTCAGTTCCAACTCATAGTGACCCTGTGAAGGGTTTCCAAGGAGCAGCTGGTGAATTTGAGCCAACCAAAAGATATGATACTTAGGAATAAATCTAAACAGAGAACCAAAGACCTATGCAAAGAAAACTATAAAACACTATTCCAAGAAATAAAAGATAACTTACAAAAATGGAAGAATCTGCCATTCTCATGCATAGGACGACTTAATATTATAAAAATATCAACACTACCCAAAACAATCTACCGATAATAACATCATTCCAGTCTAGATTCCAGTATCATTCTTGCAGAGATGGAAAAAAAATGATTACTAAGTATATACGGAAAGGAAAGAGACCTTAGATAAGCAAAGCATTTCTTAAGAAAAAGAATAGTGTTGAATGCCTCTCATTACCTGATCATAAAATTTAAAGCACAGCCACAATGGTCAAAACTTTGATCAATGGAACAGAACTGAGAATGCAGATGTAAATCCATCCATGTACAGTCAGCTGATCTTAGACAGAGGTGCACAAACACATTCAATGAGATAGGGATAGTCTCCTCAACAAATGGTGCTGGCAAAACTGGAAATGCATATTTGAAGAATGAAACAAGACCCATATCTCACACTATATAAAAAAAAAAAACTAAAAATGGAATAAAGACCTAAATGTAAAACGTAGAATTATAGAAATCATCAGTGAAAAATAGGGACAAAATTAGGGGCTATGATGCAGGCAGACTCCTGGTGTGATGCTGTAACATCAGCACTGGACTGTGAACAAGGTCAGCATTTCAAATCCATCAGCTGCTCCTTAGGAACCCTATACAGGGTTGCAGTGTGTTGGAACCTACTCAATAGCACTTAACTTCAAAAATACGTGGCATAAATACACTATCAAATATTACTAAAATCACACAAACAGTTGAAGACAGAATATATGACTGGGACTTCTTAAAAAGTAGGACCTTATGTGCATCAAAAGATTTCACCATAATACTAAAAAGAGAACCAATACCCTGGGGGAATTTTTTTTTGTAATGACATACATTTTTTAATTTTAAAAAACATTCAGTGTTCTCATGTTCTGTTCGAACAATTGCTTCTTGGTCCAGATACGGATTCCTCATGAGCACAATTAGGTGTTCCAGAATACTCATACATCGCAATGCTGCCCATAGCTTGTCATGATCCACACATCAAAAGCCTTTGCATAGTCAATAAAGTACAGGTAAACATCTTTCTGATATTCTCTGCTTTCAGCCAAGATCCATCAGACATCAGCAATTATATCCTTTGTCCCATGGCCTCTTCTGAACCCAGCTTGAACCTCTGGAACTTCTCTGTCAATGTATGAGTGTAGACATTTCTGTATTACCTTTAGCAAAGAGATTGTCCGATGATTTCCGCATTCCGTTGGGTCACCTCTCTTTAGAATGGGCACAAATATGGATCTCTTCCAATAAGTTGACCAGATAGTTGTCTTGCAAATTTCTTGGCAGAGATGAGTTAGTGCCTCCTGTGCTGTCTCACTTCTTGAAAGATTTCAATTTTTATTCCATCAATTCCAAGTGCCTTGTTTTTCTCCAATTCCTTCAATACACCTTTAATATCATTGGTTCTTGATTATATGCTACCTCTTGAAATGGTTGAACACCAACCATTTCCTTTTGGTATAGTAACTCTTTATATTCCTTCTATCTTCTTTTGATGCTTTCTGCATCATTCAATAATTTGCCCAATGAATCTTTCAGTTATGAAAGTCAAGGCTTGAGTTTTTTCTTCAGTTCCCTCAGCTTGAGAAACGCTGAGCTGTTCTTCCTTTTTGGTTTTCTGATTCCAGATCTTTGCACATTTTGTTGTAATATTTGTCTTTATCTTCTAGAGTATCAACAAGATGGCAGATTGGATATATGTGCAGTAAAGAGCTCTGTCAGCAACAACACAGAATACCAGACCAAGGAGGCTCAAGGAATGGTGCTAGAATCCTGAACCAAATACAAAGGAAAATTTAGAATCTTGGAAGGCTGACAGATAGGGGAATTTGTAGCAGAAACAAGAAATCTAGCCATTGGAGGTAGGGTTGTAAAAAGGTTCAACCACTGTATGAAATGATATGACACTTTCTCAGAGATTTGAAAATAGAAATAATGCATGACCCACCAAGCCCTCTATTTGGAAGATATTCCCATGAAATAAGAGCTAGGACATGAATAGATTATATGCACACTGATGTTCATCACAGCTTTATTCACAATAGCAAAGAAATGGTGACCACACAAAGGCCCATTAATGGAAGAACTGGTAAACTGACTACTTTGTCATATACACATAATAGAATACTATGCAACATTGAAGAATAATGATAAATATGTGAAATACCTCATAACATGGATGAACCTGGAGGATGTTATGCTGAGTGAAATTCATCAATCACAAATGGACAAGCATTGTATGACACCACTATTGAAAAAATGCAAAAAGGGGTTCCATACTAAAATTAACATTCTTTGATGATTACCAAGGGTGGGAGGGAAGAAGAGTTATTTACTGGCTAGAGGGGTAGAGGATAGACACATGTTAACTTGGGCAATGGGACAGGTAATATAGAAGAAAGGGAAGGAAAATCTACAAAAAGAGGTAAAAATGATGAAGATAGTTGAAGACACAGGGATTTATACAAGGGCCAAAGAGGATAGAAGTAAATAGTGGTATATACACAACTGTGGAACAACAGTGTTATGTGCATAGATACATGTACATACAGAGACAAAGACTGAATGGGTATGGGAGGAAGATTGAGATAAATCTATATATCTATCTCTCTTTCCATCTGTATATATTTTCCACAAATATTCAATAGCCTCTTATAGATGTGAAAGCTGGACAGTGAATAAGGAAGATCGTAGAAGAATTGATGCCTTTGAGTTGTGGTGTTGGAGGAAAATACTAAAAGTGCCATGGACTGCCAAAAGACCCAATAGATCTGTTTTGGAAGAAGTGCA